GAGCCGGAAAAGACTTCAGAAGTCATCTATGTCAACTCTATTTTTACAGATGAGGAAACTGAGGCCCTGATAGAATAAATGATTTGTCAAGGTCACAGAGATATATATATATATATATATATACACACACACACATTATATATATATATATATATATATATATATATATATATATATTATACATTTATAGTAGAGCTAGGATTCAAACTCAGATACTCCAAATCTAACGTTCATTCTAAAGCCAGCCTGGGATTAAGTATCTGGGGTGGGTAATCCACAAAGTGGATAATTGAGAATTGGCTGTCATTGAAATCATTCATCTAGAATGGGACTTTTCTCATTAGTTCCACCTGAATCCAAAGCTTTTTTTATACGTTTTTGGAACATAATTGGTTTTGGGTTTGTTTGTTTGTTTTTTTTTAAATCCAGCTTTCTCTCTATCTCCCATGCCTTTATTTTTACATTTAAAGGAAGCAAAAACTAATTAATTAATTCAAAAAGATAATGATGACTAAATAATGAAATTATAAATAAATATTGAATGAATGAATAAATAAATAAAGCAATAAAAAGATATTAAAGGGGAAGCTAAGTGGTGCAGTGGATAGAACCAGCCCTGGAGATGAGGACCTGAGTTCAAATCTGACTTTGTACACTTATTAGCTGTGTGACCCTGGGCAAGTCATTTAACCCCGATTGCTTCCAAAAAAAATTATTTTAAAAAGTTTAAAAGAAGCTAGCTCTCATTCCAACATTCAATGGAATCCAACCCTCAATCAGGCCATATTTCTTCTAGAAAAAGTGGGGATGGAGAGTGCTAGTGAAATTTGAGTCAAGGAGAAATTAGTACAACTTTTCTACCTCTTTCAAAGTATCATTTCCCCCAAGCTGGAAGATCTGGGGCCTTGAAAAGAGAAAAACATTCTTCTATCTTTTCTATTATCCCATTTCTCCTTTATCCCCCTCAAATGGATTTGGAAATAGGGAAAAAGCTCTCTAAAATTGTGTCCACTGATCATAGAACTGCAGAGCTGGAAGGGACCTTAGAGTCCAATTTTCTTTATTTTACAGATGGGAAAACTGAGGCCCCGAGTCAACTTCTCACTTCCTGCAACCTGCCATCTTCCTTCTTACCACATACTGCACCAGGGTTATGTTGATAAATGTTTAACAACTAGCTATCCAGAAAAAAAAATGCACTGAACACATTTTTAAGTTAAATTTGCTTTATTAACATTTTCTTCATCACTTTCTAAAGTCTAGAAATCAATAAAACAACACACTGAGCCCTGAATTGTAGTGCTTACTGATTTCTGAGGTGTAAATGTGCATACTCAAAATATAATAATCAGCTCTCACAGAGCTGGTATGAGCTGGTTCCTGCCCACTCGATGTCCTCAATGTCCCCTGTGTGAGGAATTCTATAGAATGATGCAGAAGGATCTGATTCTTTCTCTTGGAGAACTCCCAAGCTAGTGGATGAGGTAGAGGGCCCCCATAGGAAATAGATAAGAACACATTAAAAAACAACTTAACAACAGAATAAAGAAAATTTCTGGGAGGGGGTGAGTTCTGAGCTCAGCCTCAAAAGTAGGTCTGTATACTCCTAAGATTTTGGAAGAACATGTCTGTTAAATCTAGAGAGTTGAGCTCACTTTTGGCCCTCACAGCCTACCCTATAAATGCCCACTACCAGCACAGGCCTGTGCCATTATGCCTCTGCCCACCAGTCTCCTGCTGAGGTCAGAAGCGACGTGAAGGGATGCTTCATTTTCCTGCAGGATTTATTATTATTTTTTTTAACCATGCAGTTTTTGAAAAGCGTCCAGCTCACAAAACCTCCCATCCTCGGGGGAGCTTTTAAGTATTTGCTTGTTGTGTAGAAATGAGGGGCTGCTCTACTCCTTGGAGGAAGGATAATGAGCTATGATTTATTTCCTCTGGATTCCTCTGATGCTCCCTCCCTCGCCCCTTCCACTCCCTTCTCTGCCATCAACACACGCACTCACAGCCCACTCTCCCGTACCGGGCTGAGCTGATCACAAATGCATTATGGGAAAATGAGTTCTAATATGTGACAGCCAACTCTTTGACCCTGACCTCCACGCCTCTTGACCCTGAGAATCCCTCTACCCTGAGGGTCATTAAAGCCAAAAGGGTTCTCAGAAGCCATCTAATTAATCCAACCTCACCTTGCCCAAAATCACGCATGTGACCTTGGAATGGGAGAACCAGGGTAAGATCCCAGATTCTCTGATGCCATATCTGGCTCTTTTCTCTATCATAGGGGTTTAAAGCTAGAAGGAGCCTTTGTTCTCGATTCATTCTGTTTTCATAGAATCTTAGAGATGGAAAGAACCTCAGAGATTATATAATCCAGCCTCAATCTGGAATCCTCTCGATAACATCCTTGATAAATGACCTAGAGTAATTGGGAACCTCATTACCTCAGGGCAGCTCATTGCACTTTTGGATGGCTCTGGTTGTTATGAAATGTTTCCTTGTATGGAGTCAAACCTTCCTCTAAGCAACTTTTAACCAGTGCTTATAATAGTGTAGTACAGCAGAAACCACAGTGGATTTATTTAGTCAGAGGACCTGGGTTCAAATCCCACTTCTGTGTGACCTTGGGTATGCTATTTATTTTGTCCAAGTCTCTATTTACTCATCTGTAAGATGAGAAGGTTGAGGGACAGCTAAGTGGTGCAGTGGATAGAGCACCAGCCCTAGAGTTAGGAGGATCTGAGTTCAAGGCCTCAGACACATAACACTTACTAGCTGTGTGACTCTGGGCAAGTCACTTAACCCCAATTGCCTTACCAAAAAAAAAACCCAAAACATATATAACAAAAAAACAATCAAAAAAAGGGGGTGGCTAGGTGGCACAGTAGATAGAGTGCAGGCCCTGGAGTCAGGAGGACCTGAGTTCAAATCCAGCCTCAGACACTTCCTAGCTGTGTGACCTTGAGCAAGTCACTTAACGCCAACTGCCTCACAAAAAACAAACAAACAAACAAGATGAGAAAGTTGGACTAGCAGAGTCCTACATTTCTGTCCAGTTCTAAATCTACAATCCTGTGAACCTGTAAGTCAGATTCCAGATATTTGATAGCAGCTATCATGGCTCCTCTAAACATCCTTAGTTCCTACAACCAATCTCATTTGGGCATGTGATGGGGGGTTGGTTCTTTAACCATCCTGGATGTTTTCCCAGCTCTGGCTTGTCAATGCACTTCCTAAAATATGTCTCTCAGACCTGAAGGCAATCTTCTAGATGAGAGATTACAAGAGCAGAGGAAGGCCATTATTTTGCTCACTCTGAACACCTGCTTCTGTCAATGAAGTCCAAGGCCACCATTCCGCGTAGCATTTTTGACAGGTATTCTAGGATCTGAGACAGGCAGCATGGCCTGGGAAGATCCGGGTTCAAGTCCCATCTTTGACACACTCTCTGTGTGACCCTGGGCAAGTCACAACCTCTCCTGCTCTAGTCAACTAAAACTATAAATCCCAGAGGAGGTGCTGACCCTCATTGATAGAGGGATTTCCCTCACCTGGGAGTTCACACTAATGAAATCACAGCTCCAGTCCTTAATCTTATTCTTATTTTAGGATTTACCTAACTCTACCAGAGGCAGCTGATGGTACAATGGATAGAGAGTTAGGCCGGAATCAGGAAGATCTGAGTTCAAATCCAGCCGCAGGTACCTACTGGCTTGGGTGACCCTGGGCAAGTCACTTTAACCTCTGACTGCCTCAGTTTCCTCAACTGTAAAATGGGGATAATAGTAGCACCTACCTCTCAGGGTTGTTGTGAGGATCAAATGAGATAATATTTGTAAAGCACTTAGCACAGTGCCTGGCCCATAGTAGGTGCTTTATAAATGTTTATTCCTGGGGCAGCTAGGTGGTACAGTGGATAGAGCACCGGCCCTGAAGTCAGGGGGACGTGAGTTCAAATCCGACCTCAGACCAAACACTTGACACATACTAGCTGTGTGACCTTGGGCAAGTCACTTAACCCTGATTGCCTCACTTAAAAAAAAAATTTTATTCCCTTTCCTCTAGAATTCCTGGTGGGGGCATTCTGCTACCTTATATCTGGTGACCCTGGTCTTGACTCTGCATGCATGGACATATGGATAGATTTAGAAGGACTCTCCCTTGTCTCAGCACCTTCAATCTAGCAACTGAACAGCAGGTGATAGGAACACGATTGTTCTCTAATCAAATCTTGAGAAGGGAACTTTACTCAATTTACTTTCCTATGTGGATGGCTGGCTTAACAACTTTTTTTTTAATCAAACATCAAATGGGATGTGTGAAGTTCCCTTCCCGTCCAACCAGGATTCCTATAAAGACTTTGGAGTTGGAGACAGACAGTCTTACACAGTGCAGTGGTAAGAATGCTGTGTTTGGCTTCAGAGTCTCAGTTCAAATCCTGCCTGTCACTTGCTGTCTCTGTGCTGCCAGACAATCTCTCTGGGCCTCAGTTTCCTCACCTGTGATGAAAGGATACCGAAATAAATAGATGCTAAGTTCCCGTCCAGCTCTAAATTTAGGATGGACTTCTGGAGAATTTTAGCCAGTTCAGGGATCTAAATCAGAGGTCACAGGGAAGGAAATCCATCTCTGGCTATATGACCAGAAAATAGTACTTCTTCTGTGCCGTCATGTCCACACCCACATCAGAGCCACAGTGACCTTTTATGAAATCCTAGAATGATACAGCTGAAAGGTATCTCCAGAGATCATGTTACCCGACCCGGTCATTCTACAGCTAAGGAAGCTTCAGCCCATAGAAGGAGGTCAATTTGTCCAAGGTCACGCAGCTAGTTAATGGCAGGTCTCCTGACTCCCATCCCCAGTGTTCTTTCCAACTATTTTCCTCCTGATTGACATAGGTTCAGTCTAGAAATCCCAGGGATGGGGAATGGGGTGTCTCTTAGTAACTGGATGTTTATCTCTTTTTCTGCCCCGTCCCCACCCCTTGTACCCAGATCTGAAGCCATGGGTCTCTAACTTCACCTACCCTGGAGTTCAAGATTTCTCCCAGCTTGCTCTAGACCCCTCCAGGAACCAGCTCATCGTGGGAGCCAGGTAACAGCAAAGGACCCATTAACAGGTCCCATCGGAGGAGTGGGATGGAATCTGGAGTAGCCAATGAGCCAGAATGAATCAACTAAATCTGTTTTTGGGAGATTTCCAGGGAATTTCCAGCCCTAGTCACTCATTCGTGGGGAGGAGGCCATAAGAATTGTCTTCTCCTGTCTCACCTCATAGAGTCTTCAGAAACTCTTTCCTCAGCAAGTATATGTTTATGTACAAGACTAGAGTTTGGGATCTGAAAGAAATCAGGCAATAAATAAATAATCAAGGGACTTCTAAAAAAAAGGCCATGCCCTCATTCCCCTTTTATGCCCTTCTGGGGTGAATGGAAAACCTACCAACTAGAAGCTACTGTGTAGATTTTCCACTAGTTTTCCCCTAGAAGTTGAAAGATCAGGAAGATCTCACTACTGAAAAATATCTCCCTCAGACACTAGAGATTTTTCCTTTAATCACACATCCTGAAATTCTACAAATCAGAGCCTTTGACAGTGGCTTCCTTTAAAGTTCAAAATACCATCGGGGAAGGTATGAGTCCTTAATACCTTAGTAGGAATTAGTTTAATGGTATTGCTTTCCACCAGACCTCTAGCCAAGGACTGACAGAATAAGAATTTTGATTGATTAGAGAAAGGGTGGGGCAGAGGGAAAAGCAATTTTAAAAAGTGGTATACTATGTGGAGGAAGCAGGCCTGGGCTTTAATAATCTATGTTTTGAATATTATTCATGACAAGTGTTAATAACACTTATATAATAAATATGTGCACAGTTTAATATAACCTTAACACATAACAATAAGGGACACTGTAAAAGGCCCTTTCCAAAAGAAAGCCCACCACAGATATTAAAAACATTTTTTAGAAAGTAAAAAAAAAAATGGATACTTGAGGGCATGCAATAAGGACTTCAGAAGGTGGGAGAGGAATGAAGACTAGAAAGTATGGAAGGGGGGACAATTTTGCTTGAGTATCCCTGCTTCCCAAGGGCAAGATAATAAGGCTTGTAAAATATGTCCCTCACAATTATCTACAGAGGTAGGGAATGCAAGTATTATTATTTTTATTGACATGTTATTTGATAGTGATATATTGTTTCCTTAATGAAGAAACTGAGACTCAAAGTTGTTCAAAGGTCTCCCCAAGATTATATGACTACTAAGTACAGGAGCCCATTGTATGTGGTGTGGCCTTTGTTTCCAAAGTAAAGGGTTGTTCTTGATAAACTGCATCATCCTTTGCCTCTGGTTTGTAGAATTTCAAGGAGATGTGGCCTGCTGGGTCCCCTGGGAACCTGGGAGAATTAAGAGGGTCCTTAAATCATTTTCCTCCCTTGGCCAGTGTTCCTCACTCCCTTCCACCCTTCACCTTCCCATAAGAATTCTCTTTTGGTTTGACTTTCCACCAGAACCATAACTAGGTGAGTAGAGCAGCTGGGGCTTTGCCCCAGGATGCCAAAATTTAGACGATAATGACAGTACTTATATTCCTTCAGGAGATAGAAACAACTGAGTTTCGCACCTGTTCAGTGTGAATAATTAGTTTAAATGAACAACTACCAGTTAGTACATTTTCTCACTCCCTCCTCCCATACCTCTTTAGCCCAGGTGACCTCCTCCCAGCCTCAACACACTCTGCTCCCTTCTCTAGTGGAAGCATACCCCACAGTAGCCTCGAGGTCTCCAAGATCTGTTCCCTAATATGGCTTTGTGTCTTGAGATCCAAGTTTTCTCCCCAAGGTTTCTCCCCTGTCCCCTAACTGAATTTGCTTTGAAGTATTAATTTGAAGGAGTGTTTTGTGCTGCCTGCTTCGGTTACCAGAATTGTTCGTCACATCTCTGGTTCTTGCCCTCTCTCTCCAGGCCCAGTCCCTCACCACTTTTCCTGTGTTTATGTGGCGGTTGGGTTATGAGTAGCCTTCGTCCCAGGGCTCTGTTGCCCCAGACCACTGGCCAAGAAAGACATCTTGGGCTCCAACAGAGCAGGAGATTTGCCCCTTGGGAGCCGGGATAGGATTGCAGGGCTCAGCCATTAACTAAGCCTTGTTCCCTTGTGCTCAGCCTTCATAGTTTATTGATCATGTAGCACAGCCCCAGCTCACCACTTATAACAGAGATTAAAGGTGACATTGTTTCCCTCTCTCGCTGCTGCAGAGGGTGGGGGTAGAGGTGAGGCATGTATAGAAAACAGAGTTGAATTGACTTCCTTGGAAATCTCTATCAGAGACCCTGGGAGGGACATAGAAGGAAAGAGGTGGCCTGGGGCTGGCACTTTCAGCCTAGTAGAATCTTCTGTCCATCTGAGCTGATGGCAGCAGGCTGGATAAGATGACCCCTTTAAGCCCCAGGCCTCTATTGTTCTGGGAAACCGTCGAGGTCCTAGAATTCAAGGGGTTGCTGAGAGTTTTCGCTCACTCTCATTTCTACCACTGCTTAAGGATTCTTCTCTTCCAGCCAGGTTTAAACCTTTGAACCAGGAGAGACCCTCCTCCATGTACAAGGATGCTGTTAGAAATGGGCCATTCTGTCTAGAGGCAAGAGGATGACCAGTTTGACCTTTCTAGGGCCTTTCCAGGACTCTGAGTGTGGGGTGTGTGTATGTGTGTTTAATTTTTTATTCATTTTAAACTTAAATACAAAACAAAAAAAAACATTTCCATATACACATCAGAACATGAGAGGATTCAATGTAAAACAATAAATTTCCATTTCATGAAAACCTATGCAATAAACCCTACAAGTTGTTTTCAAAGCAACCCAACTTTTCAGTGTTTCCTTCTAGGTTTTCTTTTGCTCTCTGCTATGCACTTTTTATTGAATATTTTTTCCTCTCCATTCCCCCCCCCCCCCCAGAGAAAGCTATATATTTAAAAAAAAAAGTCTGTTCCTTGAGGGTTGGCTGGTTGTGTGCCTGGAGTAGGTGTGTCAGGTTCAGGTAGGTCAATATTTGAGTGTTTTTCAACGGGTATGACTTCTGATTTCTGCATCTCTTATTTCCACAGGAACTATCTCTTCAGACTCAGCCTTATCAACGTCTCTCTCCTTCAGGTACATTCCCTAGTCTCAGCCCAATTCCTCTGCACCTCCCAACGATCTGTGTGAGCTCTCTGCTCTCATACAGTGTCAAGGTTGAGAGCAGGAAAAGCCAGGTGGGATGTCTAGGAGACCTCTGATATTGAATGGGTAATTCTGGCAGATGGGAATCCTTCCTTCTTTCCTTAACTAAGCAACAGAAAATCCCCTGGAGAGTTAGTCATTTTGCTTCTCTAGATATCAGTTCCAATATTTATGGGATGATACAGGTGGATAGAGCTGTGGGTTGTTGAGTGTGGAAGACCTGAGTTCAAATTCTGCCCTAGGCACTTATTTGTGGTGAGACCCTGTGGAAGTCACTCCACCTCTGCCAGCCTCAGTTTCCCCATCTATAAAATTAGGGGGTTAGACTCAAAGGCCTCTAAGGTCCCTTCCAGCTCTAAATATATGATACTGTGATTTCTTTGTATTTATATCCCCAGTTTTCTGCCACATAATAGGTGTTTAATAAATACTCATTGATTGAGAGAAATAGGAATAATATCTTTTTGGTCTTATATTGCTTCCTACAATATGCCAGGGGGCAGCTAGGTGGCTAGATGGCTTAGTGGAAAGAGTGCCGGGCCTGGAGTGAGGAAGACCTGAGTTTAAATTCAGCCTTAGACATTTACTAGCTGTATAACCCTGGGCAAGTCACAGTTTCCTCATCTGTAAAATGAGCTGCAGAAGGAAATGGCAAATCACTCTAGTAGCTTTGCCAAGAAAACCCCAAAATGGGGTCACGAAGAGTTGGACACAACTGAAAATGACTAAAACAACAGCAAAATATGGAGAAGATAATAATAACAACAATAAAAGCTAACAATTATATAGCACCTACTGTGTGCCAGGTGCTGTGGCCTGGCCAGGCTAAGTGCTTTACAATTATTATTTCATTTGACCTTCACCACAACCCTGCCAAGTAGGTGCTATTATTATCCCCCTTTTTCAGATGAGGAAACTGAGGCAAACAGTGGTTAAGTGACTTACTTAGGGTCACACAGCTAGGAAGTAACTGAGATCAAATGTGAATTCAAGTCTTCCTGACTCTAGGCCTCCTGCTGTATCTACAGAGCCCCCTAGCTACTCCTAATAATAATAGCTCCTAACTCCCAGGTCTGTTATGAGGATCAAATGTGTAAAGCACTTTGCAAATCTTAAAGCACTATACAAATGCTAGCTGTTATTATTATTATTATTATTATTTCCCAAACGTGCTCTGGATCTTTTCACCTTCGTGCCCTTTTCCCTACACCCAGAATGGCCTCCCTCCCCATCTTTGCTGATAGAATTCCTGTCTATCCCTGCTGAGTGCTCTCTCTTCCATGAAACTTTCCCTGATCTCCTTTGGCCTTTCTCCTTACAGAAATTTTGTTTTTTATCTTGTCACTTCTCTGATCAAGTATTGTTTTTAATGACAGTTATCTATGTGCCATATTCCTCTACCGGACCCTACGCTTCATGGAAACTTCTATATTATGCATATTATCTAAACTTGGTGTATTTCCTAGCACAATGTTCTGCACACAATACATGCTTAATAAATGTTTGATGGGTTGAATACATGCACACCTGTATCAACCAGAAGAGACGGTGATGGGAGGTAATTGGGAAGCATAGGAAGAGAGGAGCGACATGATCCAAGCTGTGCTTTCGGAATATCACTTGGCAGGTGGATGGATGGATGGAAGTTGAGACCCCTTCTACCTCTAAAATTCTATGATTTTCTGATTTTGGGTGAGAAAGGCTCCGAATCTGGGTTTAAAAGGAGGGTCTCTTGGTTCTGGGCCTCAGGAACAAGGAGCAGCTGTGGTTCCTCATTCTTATTTCTCCACTTAGCCAATATGTCTATACCAGAACTGAGAACTGATTATAATTTTCATGGATGGAACAGCTAATTTCTTATAGACTGAAGGAACTGTATAGCTTATAGAAGAAAAAAACTGGAGGCTGGGGGTGGGAGGAGGGGCGTGTTAGTTGCCTTCAAGTATTTGAAGGGTCTGGCAGGTGGAGATGGGATTAGATTTGTTCTCTTCAGCTCAGAGGGCAGAACCAGGAAGCATAAGGGGAGGTGAGAATAAGGAGACAGATTTAGTCCTGCCTTCAGGAAAGACTTCTTAACAATTGGAGCTGTCCAAAAGTAAAACAAGCTTCTCCAGAGTGGAGGGTTCTTCCTTCTTGGATAGAGGTCTTTAGGAAAGGGCTGGAAAATCACTTGTCAGTATATTATGGTAGGGATCCCTTTTGTCTAAGGTTTGAGGTCTCTTCCAATTCTGAAATCTGCAATGCTGTAATTCATTTCTCCAAACTCATTCCCTATTCCTCAAGTGTGCAGGAAGGAAGTTGTAATAACACCTCTCTGCTTTTGAGCATTTTGGACAGATGGGACTCAGATCTTAAGCAAGAGTGGGAATTCATATTGCTTGAGATGGTATCTCATCATTTTGCTGCTTCTGAGTAGGAATATAATCATGATATTAAGAGATGGAAAGGATATTAGAAAGTATTAACCAAGGAGCATGGCACTGTAGAAAGAATGTTAAATTTGGAGTTATGGGAACTGAGTTCAGACCCTACCTTTGCCACTTAATTACCTGTGTGACTTTGGATAAGGTCCTTCCTCATCTGTTAAATGAGCTGGTTGGTAGAGTTGATTTCTAAGGTCTCTTCCATATCTACATTTATGGTCATTTATGCCAGGGGTTATTAGCCGTCATTATATTATTGACCTCCTTGGCAGTCTGATGAATCTTTTGAACACACCTCTTTTTGGAACAATATTTTTAAATAATTGAAGGAAGTTTTAAATTTCGGTTAGAAGTTACTGAAAATAATGATGTTATTTTTTCCCATCTAAATTCATTGATCCCCTAAAACCCTAGAGAACCTCTGATCTAGTCCAACTCTCTCATTTGACCGATGAGAAAACTAAGGGCCAGACAGGGGAAGTGATTTCTCCAAAGTTAAGCCCATGGCAAAACCCGGGTGCTGAAGACTCCAAACCCAGTGCTCTTTGTCTAGGCCACACTGCCTCCGTCATAGTCTCAGCACTCCTAAGACATCCTTCTCCTTCACTTCTACAGTGCTTATGATCTCTCTGTTCACAATGTCGTCATTAGAGGTCGGGAGTGGGGGGGAAAGGGAAGAGTCATTCAGTCATCGATCATTTATTAAATGCCTACTCTGTCATAGGTACTGTGATGGGTGCTGGGGTTACCAAGACAAAAATGAAATAGTGCCTGCCCTCATGGAGCTTCTGTTTCTACTAGGGGCTGGACTGGAAGGGGAACAATATGTACACAAAGAACTGGAGATAGGGACTGGACCTATCCCTATGTATTTCTTAACTTGAAGTCAAATTTTTGCCCCTTATTTCATTGACATAGGGAACTCTTAAATGAGGAAGCTCCATCTGCTAATGCATGTCAGCATCTTCTCTGTAATTCATAATCTTAAAGGGTTGCCTAGAGCACCAAAAAGTTGTCTTCTTGCCCGCGGTCACTCACTTATCACGCATTAGAGGCAGGAATTGAACTCAGGTCTTCTTGGCTCTGTGATCAACTCTATCCATTACCCCCACACTGCCTTTGTACACAGTGAAACAAATTCAAAATATATACCAGCTAATTTTGGTGGGAGTGAGGAGAGGGCACCAAGGAAGAGTTAGATGGTACAATGGATACAGTGGTGGACGTGGAGTCAGGAAGACGAGTTCAAATCCAGCCTCAGACATTTATTAGCTGTGTGACCCTGAGCAAATCACTTAACCTCTGTTTGCCTCAGTTTCCTTATCTGTAAAGTGGAGATAATAATAGCCCCTTCCTCTTTGGGTCATTGTAAGGATAAAATGAGATATTTGTAAAGTGCTTTGTAAGCCTTAAAGTAAAAATGCTAGCTATTGTTATTTAATTGGATGGACCTGGGAAGACTCTAGCAATTGAGTTAATCAGAATATTTAGAAAACAATCAAGAAGCAATAACATTTATCCTAAACTGATCCTAAGTCATCCTAAATTTAAATGATCCAGATAATGCCCAGCATTAGGTCTCAAAAGGAGAGCTGGCTAGTCACCCCTTATTGACTTAGACAATCAGGGTCACAGCACATTTTGGGGATCCAGATCTTTAACCTGACCCACAGCTACCATGGCTGTTCCTCAGCAGAAGTGAAGATGAGCAGATCTTAAAGACCCCAGGCAAGTAGTCAAGTCAAACACTCTTCTCTCCACAAGAAGGCTATGGGTATGGATGGATCCCTGCTTTTAGAAGCAATGCATTCCCAGGACCCATCTCTTAAAGCAGAGCCCCCTAAGGCAAAGTTCTGACTGCTCTCATGTGAACGTGTGGGGCTGACTTAGTCCATTCAGTGGAAAAGTTGGACAGGCAGGTAAATGTGAAATATAAAACAATGAAAAGTTGGGCCCTCCCCCATTCCAATGGCTAACAACCAAACCTGTGCGTGTGGTTACCCAGCAGGCGGGGATGCTAACAGCCCGGGAGACGATTCTTCCTGAAAGTCTGTCTCGAGAAAGCCGATCCTTCGGATCAACTCCACAAAGAAAGTCTGCCACTGATCCCACAAAACAAACTGCTTGACCAAGAACTGAGGTGATTTTTATTCAGAGTAGAGAGCTTCAAGGGACCTTATAAAGATCATCTAGTCTCAGGATTCTTAACCCTTTTTTTGTGTCAGGGACCTCTTTTTCCAGTATGGTCAAACCTTTGCAGAAAAATATTTTTAAATGCATGATACACAGGATTATAAAAAAAAATCAATTATATTGAACTCTAGTTAGGAAAATAATTTTAAAAGTTCTCAGACCTCTCTTCTAGTCCATTGCTCCCCTCTCTCCTTCTGGAAGGAAGCAAGCATTTATTATGTGCCTACTATGTACTAGACACTGTGCTAAGTGCTTTAAAAATATCTCATTTGATCCTCACAACAACCCTGAGAAGTAGGCCCTATTGTTATCCCCTTTTTACAGATGGAGAAACTGAGGGAGACAGAGGTTAAGTGACTTGCTTAGGGTCAAACAAGTAGTAAATGTATGAGGCTGAATTTGAACTCAGGTCTTCCAACTCCAGGCCCAGTTCTCTATCTACTGACCACCTATCTGCCTCTGCCCTCCCCTCCTTCAAGACAATCTTCCACTCCAAAAAAAAAAAAAAATGAAGGGACAAGTGACTTGCCCAAGACCACACAACTAATAAATAGCAGAGCAGAAATTCAAGCTGACTCCAAGTCCAGGGCACTTTTCACTACCCTTCATGCCCTGCCTTCCTTCTCCAGTTCTCTGTGCCATCCACCTCTCTGCATCTGGCCTGCACAACCCTGGTATGGTGCCTTCAGAGCATAGCTTCTGACCCCCACCAGCGGATTTCCAAGAACGTCTGCCAGACTGTTCCCATTACTTCCTTCAGAGCACTTAGCTCAAAATTGAGTCCTTCCAAAATGCCTTTCCTGATTATCAGCACTCTAGTCTGATCCCTAGTACTTAGTGTCTGTACCAGCCATTTGGGAAGAATCCTTACCCAGATGTTCTAGGGGATAGACTTCTTGGCTCCCCATCAATCAACAGTTATTTCCTGGGCCTCTGCACAGTGTCTGACCCTGGCTGGATACTTTGGGGGATGCAAGAGAATGTGTAAGGTGGGGCCCCTCCCCATAAGGAGCTGACCATCTGATTGCCGTTTTTTAGATTTTGATTATTTAAAATTTTTTTAATGTTTTATTGTTGAACATTTATCACATCATACAAACCCCAGGGTACTCCCACACAATGTATGGTCCCCCAAATTAGTGAAACAAAATAGCATTAAAAGTGTGACTGAGCCTGAGAGGCCCTGTGACCTTACACTGTAGTTATTCTCCATTTGTTAAAAGAAAGGATAGGCATACTGACAGCCCAGATGGGGAGACAAGATCAACAAGGCAGAATTGGAGAACAACCTAAGACAGCGTGTAATGAAGTGTTAGGCCGTCTGATTCCACCAGTTGAAGTTCACAGATTTAGAGCTGGAAGAGATCTTTGATGGCATTTGTGGTCCAACTTCCTCATTGTATTTTATTTTTTAAATAATGTTTTATTGATGGTTAAAAAAACAAACAAACCTCACTGTCACTTCCTAATGACTTTTCTCCTCCTCCCCAACCCGCACCCTCATCAATAAATAAGGGCAGTCAAGCAAAATCAATCAACATATTGGTCCCACTGGACGACGCATGCCTCATTCTACCCCCTTCCTCCACAGTCCTGCTTCACCATCAGTCCTTTAAAGTCATGATCCACTACTGCATTGATCAGAATTCTGAACTTTTCATGTTGTTTTCCTTCACGTTATTGTGATCAGCTTGTAACTTATTCTCCTAATTCTGATTGCTTTGTTCTATATCAGATCTTCTAAGTCTTTCCCACATTTCTCTAAATTCTCTATTTTCATTATTTCTTTTGTATAATAGTCCATTAAATCCAAATGCTACTACTTGTATAGCTTCTCAGTGGGCAGTCAACATTTATTAAGCACTTACTATATGCCAGGCACTATGCTAAGCTCTGGGGATACAAAAAGAGGCAAAAGATAGTCCCTGCCCTCAAGGAGCTTACAATCTAATGGGGGAGACAGCAAGCATGTCAACAAATACATACAAAGCAAGCTGTATGCAGGATAAATAGGAAGTGATTAAAAGAGGGAAGACATTAGAAGTAAGAGGGGTTGGGGAAGGCTTGCTATAGAAAATGGGGTTTTTGTTGGAATTTAAAGGAAGCGAAGGATGTCAGTAGTTGAAGATGAGAAGAGAAAGCATTCCAGGCATGGGGATAGCCAGAGAAAATGTCTGGAGCCAAGAGCTGGAGCGTCTTGTTTGTGTAACAGCCACTACAAGTGAATGAATAAACAAACAAATAATTGTGTATATGTATATATATTTATACAAAGTTATAGAAATGCCGTATATGTCACATACACACATATATATCTATACACATTTGTATGAATACATAGAGACACACATATGTGTCTGTATATATATATGTGTGTGTATATATATGCATATATATATATATAGATAGATAGATAGATAGATAGATAGATACACATATTCTCTTTGTTTTTTATTTCTTTGGGGGTATTGCCTAGCAGTACTACACTTGATCAAAGGGTATGCATAATTTATTAACTTTTTTTTCCCATATAATTCCAAATTGTCTTCTAGAACAGTTGGACCATTTCACAGCTCCACCAATGAGGCATTAGCTTTCCTGTCTTTCCTTCCTTCCCACAGTTACCATTTTCGTCTTTTGTCATCTTTGCCAGTCTTAGAGATATGAGAGGTAAAACCTCCAAGTTGTTTCAATTTGCATTTCCCTTATTATTACTGATTTCGAGCATTCTTTCATATGACTTTAGATAGCTTGCATTTTTCTTTTTAAAAACTGCCTGTTCATATCTTTTGAGCATTTATATATTGGGGAATGCCTCTTTTTCTTATATGTTTATATCAATTCCCCATCTGTCTTGTTTTTGAGACTTTTAGCAGAGATATTTGCTACAGTTTCCTTTCTCCTCGTAACTGCTTCTTTTCTAGCCTCATTGATTTTGTTTTCACAGAAGCTTTCCAATTTTATGTAACTGAAATTGTCCATCATCTCTTTTATGATCACTTCTATCCCTTGCTTCTCATTCCAGTGTTGTTAAGTAATCTGCCCCAATTTACACAGGTAGTGAGTGACAGAGCTGGACAGTGAACCCAGGTCCTGATACTCCAAACCTAATTCAATTGGAGTCGGAGAGGGGAGAGATCAAGGTGGGCTAGAGGGATTTACTACGACTTCCTTTACTCTTTAGGTCTTGGCGGCAGAGGAGAACAAAACGCCTTCTGTTTCTCTTAGGTTTTCTGTAGCTCAGTGCGCAGAAGCTTCTTAGGAGAGTTGAAATGGGTATCAAAGTACTGAGGGGACAGCATAAGAAAATGGGAGGACTGTGTACATCTTAAGGGTGAGGCCAAGAGGAACCCAGTCATATTAGGAAGCAAAGTGTCAGCAATTTTACCCAAGGTTGCTAAATGTCTCAAGTACATAGAAACATGGCATCAATTTGACGATACTCATCAGAACCCAAAATGGTCCTGCATTTGTTGATGACTCCTGTTTGCACATGGGCAGCTAGGTGGCGCAGTGGATAGAGCATCAGCCCTGGAGTCAGGAGGACCTGAGTTCAAATTTAGCCTCTGACACTTGACACTTACTAGCTGTGTGACCCTTGGGAAGTCACTTAATCCTGATTGTCTTGCGTAAAAAAAAAAAAAAAGTGTCTGTGTTAAGTCACTGTAGTCCAAATCCAGGAACTCATGGCCATTTTAGCCTCATCTCTCCCTTAGCAAGAAATCCTAGGGGCAGCTAGGTGGCACAGATAGAGCTCTGGCCTTGGAGTCAGGAGGACCTGAGTTCAAATGCAGCCTCAGACACTTGACACTTACTAGCTGTGTGACCCTGGGCAAGTCACTTAACCCCAATTGCCTCACCAAAAAAAAAGAAAAAAAAAGAAATCCTCTCACATACCCTATATTCTCTGTCCTCTATACTCCCACTGTAACATTCCTCACTGTGAGTATCCTCTCCCTATACACACATACACACTGAAGCAAGCTCCCTGTCAGTAAGAAAGTGACACTGCAACCCTGCCCTAGCACACGCTTTACAGCACCCACCCACTTCCCCCACACACCATCATGCTTCCCACGTAAAAATACCGCAAGATTCTCCATGCCACGCAAATGTGCTTCCCAACTCATCCCGCAGATGCCGAAGTGAGCCTTTCTGTCTATGGGGCATTCCAGGTCTGCCACTTCCCTGTGTAATACTTGTCCTGGATGCAGATACCACGTCAGGGCGGTCATTCTTCTCTGTCTGCCTCTTGTCTGTATGCACACTGGTGTGTCCTGGCTTGCTTCCTTTGCTCTGAATCACTTTATTCAAGTCCTTTCCATGTTTCTTTCATTTCCTCTTATTGGGATTTTCTATGGCACAAGAATATTCCATTACATTTATATGCCACAGTTTGTTCAATCATTCCTCAGTAGATAGGCACCTGTTTTTTTTCCCAGTTTCTTTGTGTGCTTTTTGCTTCCATGAGGGCCTCCTGTACCCCTTGGGGTATAGGTCTACGATGAATGTACACTGGGATTGTGAGGTCATAGGGTGTGACATATAATGTGACTTATATAATTCCAAATTGATTTTCTGAATGATTGAACTAGTCTACAACTCTACTAACATTGCATTGATCTACGTATCTTCCCACACCCCCTCTAACATTATCTCTTTCAATCTTTAAAAATCATCTTTGCCAACTTTCTGGGTGTGAGATGAAACCTTAATTGTTTCAATTCAAGAAAATGAGTCGAAATTTTGTCTCAAACTCTTCCTGTACCCTGGATGAGTCATTTAACCTCTCTCAGCCTTAGTTTCCTCATCTGTCAAATGGGGATAATAAAGCACCTACCTCAGAATTGGCATGAGGATCAAACGAGATATGTAAACAGCTTTGCAAACCCTAATTCAATGTAAAAATGCTACTATTATTTTGAGTTGTCTTTTATATGATAGCTGACCATTTGCATTTCTTCTTCTGTTCATAGCTTTTGACCAGATACTTACCTGTTGTCTTTCTCATCTTTAAAAGGTTTCCAGGGGAGGAGTCTTTGCAACCCCCTTCGTGTTCTACAGATGTGATGATTAGGGAGACTGAAGAGGGCCCCCCAGTAGCATCACACTCCTAATTTCCCTCTCCTTCCTAGGCTATTGCCTGACAACACTGGGATCTCTTTCTATTCCTTCCCCAGGCTACGGAGTGGAGCTCCAATGAGGAAACACGCAAGTCCTGCCAAAGCAAAGGGAAGACTGAAGTATGTGGCCCGGCTGAATCCTAGGCATCTTCCCCCTCCCACCCAGATCAGGAGAGATACTTCACACATCCAAGGGCTGGGGTATAGTGATGCCTGAGATGGGGGAGGAGATCTGAGAGGAAAAGACTGTGGCATTTGGGAAAACCTGACAAATGAGACAGTGCTACTTAGTGCCGGATATATTAAAATCTCTCTGGGACTCACTCTGCTGAATCCTGCCCCCTACTCACCCAGATGAGAGGGAAGAGATTTTGTCAGAATCCCCAGCCCTTTGAAGAATGCCTCACATATAATGGGTGCTTAATAAATGCTTACTGATTGATTGATTGCTTAATGGATTTTTTTCCTTGCCCTTCCACCCCAGGAGGAGTGTCAGAACTATGTTCGGGTGTTGATTGTGTCCGGCAGGAAGGTTTTCACGTGTGGCACCAATGCTTTCTCTCCGGTGTGTTCCAGCAGACAGGTGAGGAGTCTTTCGGGTGAGGCTGTGGGTGAGTGAGGTATATCCCAGCCCTGAGTCCACGAGCTAGTTTCTTGGCTGGGGAGAGTCACCAGCTAAGGTTATCTCCCGGGATGACAGATTGCCTGGAGATAACAGAAGTCAGTGTCATCCTGAGTTATGAACCACAAAGGTTTGCATGTACCTAGAGGAGACATTATGGGGAGGAAGGACAAGGGGGTCCTCAAGGTGGTTCTCAGGTGGTCCCATAAGCACAAGGTCAGAGGAAAGTTACCAAACTAAGGTGGAAAGAAAACACACAGCTCCCAACCCAGCCCTGGACCAGAGGGAAACTCCTCATTCCCTACAATATGTACCCTCACTCCCCATAGTACTCTCTCTGCTCTATTTCCCTCGTCTTTTTCACTTCCTTCCCAGGCAGGGAACCTCAGCCGGACCATTGAAAAGATCAATGGTGTGGCCCGATGCCCCTATGATCCTCGACACAACTCCACAGCAGTGATCTCAGAGCAGGGGGAACTGTATGCTGCCACCGTCATCGACTTCTCCGGCCGAGACCCTGCCATCTACCGAAGCCTGGGCAGCGGCCCACCTCTTCGCACTGCTCAATATAACTCCAAGTGGCTCAATGGTACACACTGTCCCCAACCCCAAAATGTGGGGGCACCACCCCCTTTTCTGATCCTCCTACCTTCGAGGAACACACATTCACAGATTTTTCTTTTTCAACTCACAACAAAAAAACACAACTGATATTCAGAGATGGGCAGCTTAGGGACTGCTGCATATTTGGGGTGGCACCAAGGACCAAAGTGTCTTAGTTTCAAGCTCAGCATCTCAAATGTTGGCCAGGTCAGAAAGTGGGCAAAGAATGGGGAGAATAATATTCAAAGACATATTAAGAAAGAGATTCAGAAAAAATCTTTTCAGAAAGATACCAATGTGAGTCAAGCAAGCATTTGTTTTTTATTTTTTCTTTTGTTTCTAATTGTAAAAAAATTTTAATATACTTTAACATTCATTTTTTAAAATTTTGAGTTCTTTCCCATCCCCCCTTCCACCCATTGAGAAAGCAAGCAATATGATTTCAATTTTACGTGTGAAATCATGCCAAATGTATTTCTATATTAACCACGTTGAAAAAAAGGCAAGAAAAATCAAGTGAAAAACAATATGCTTCAGTCTTCACTCAGAGTTCATCAGTTTTCTCTCTGGAGATGGCTAACACTTTTCATGATGGCTCCTTTGGAATTGTAACAGATCATGGTATTGATCAGAGTAGCTAAGTCTTTCCCAGCTGATCATCATTACAATATAAGCAAGCATTTTTTAAGCACTTACTATGTACCACAAACTGTCCTAGGTACTGTGAAAGGGAGCTTGGAAGGGGCTTCTTCTCTACCTTTTTCCTCTCCTACCATTACCATTATCCTCTGTGTGCCTCATTCAAGTTGGTAATATGAGCCTTGGAATCTTGACGGCTCCTAACTTACTATCCTGGGGAAGCAGGCTGCTTGGGACAGCGGCAAGATTTCTATCAGAAGGGAGTATGGCGCAATGAAAAGGATCCTAGCTCCAGCGTCAGAGGAACTGAGTTCAAATTCTGACATTGATGGTTACTACCTGCGTGATCTTGGACAAATCATTTAAACCTCCCTGGATATCAGTTTCCTTATCTGTAAAATGACTTAATGGTCTCTGAGGTCCTTCTAGCTTTAGAGTTATCACACGACACAATGTAATATATATCTAGCTATATTGTAATCCATAATATAACATCCACCTGTATTATAATCTATAATATCTAGCTCCAGATCCATAGTAAGTTAAGTAGCTCCAAAATCTGCGTGCCCTCCTCGTTCCTACCTCCTCCCTCCTGACATCCGTTTGATGTCTCTCCTCTTCCTCCCTTGAACTTTCTTTCTCCAGAGCCGAACTTTGTTGCTGCTTACGACATTGGTCTGTTTGCCTACTTCTTCCTGCGAGAGAACGCTGTGGAGCACGACTGTGGGCGCACCGTCTATTCACGTGTGGCTCGTGTGTGCAAGAATGATGTGGGGGGGCGCTTCCTGCTGGAGGACACGTGGACTACCTTCATGAAGGCCCGGTTGAACTGCTCCCGCCCAGGGGAGATTCCTTTCTACTACAACGAACTCCAGAGCGCATTCCATCTCCCTGAGCAGGACCTAGTCTACGGTGTCTTCACCACCAATGTGTGAGTTCCTGTTCTTCCCCACCCCACTGGCTTTAGAACCCCTGACCTTACTCTATAGCCCTTGACCCAGGAAGGAGAGAGCAAACTAACATTTATTAAGCTCCTACTATGTGCCAGGCACTGTACTCTCAACCCAGGAAGGAGGGAAAGAAACAAATATTTATTAAGCTATTACTATATGCCAGGCATTACACTCTCAACCCAGGAAGGAAGAAAAACAAACATTTATTAGACTTCTACTATGTGCCAGGCACTGTCCCTCAATCTAGGAAGGAAACAAACATTTATTAAACCCCTACTATGTGCCAAGCACTGTACCTTCAGCCCAGGAAGAAGGGAAGGAATCAAACATTTATTAAGCTCTTACTATGTGCCAAGCACTATACTCTCAACCCAGGAAGGAGGGAAAGAAACAAATATTTATTAAGTTTTTACTATGTGCCAGGCATTACACTCTCAACCCAGGAAGGAAGAAAAACAAACATTTATTAGACTTCTACTATGTGCCAGGCACTGTCCCTCAATCTAGGAAGGAAACATTTATTAAACCCCTACTATGTGCCAAGCACTGTACCTTCAGCCCAGGAAGAAGGGAAGGAATCAAACATTTCTTAGGCCCCTGCTATGTGCCAGGCACTTTACTGTAAATCTGGGAAGGAAAAAAAACATTTATTAAGCTCCAGCTATGTTCCAGGTACCATGCTAAGCACTTTACAAACATTATCTCATTTGATCCTCACAACACCCCCAGGAGGCAGGCCCTATTAGGGCAGACAGAGGTTCAATGACTTGCCCAAGGTCACACAGCTAGTGATTGTCTGAGGCTGGATTTGAATTCAGGTCTTCCTGATTCCAGGTCCAAAGCTTTATATATTGTGCCCATCTAGTTGCCTTACCCAGCCCTCTGGCATCTGAGTTTCTCTTTATCCACAAGTCAGGCAGGTTTGGTGGAATGTCAGTTTGAAACTCATCTACATTAAGATGATAGTTGAAGCCTTGGGAACAGATGAGATGTCTGAGGAACAGATTATAGAAAAATGAAAAGAAGGGTCAAGACTAGAAGTTAGGCAGGAGAAGGGACAGTCAGAGAGACAGGAAGAGGGCCAGGATGGAAACCAAGGGAGGAGGACATGTCAAGGAGAATGAACTGGTTAGCAATTACTCATGGTTCTTGAGTTTGAAAGGGACCTCACAACGCATCTAGTTCCATCCCTTTTCATTTAACAAATAAGATAATTGAGGCTTATGGAGGCCAGATGACTTGCCCAAGGTCACACACCAGGTGCAGGACTTGAGCCAAGATCCTTTAGCTTCTTGAGCTAGTGCTTTCTGTACCACACCATACTTCACATGGGTTAAGGAGATGAATGCTGAGAATGCCTTTGGATTTGGTATTTAGGTGGTCACCAGCAGCCTTCAAGAGAGCAGTTTTAATAGCAGTGTTTGGGAATGGAAGACAGATTGCAAGGTGTTAGAGTGAAGTGGGTGGTGAGGAAAAGGAGGCAGTAATGATTGGACTTCTCTTTGGAGAAGTTTGGCAGGAGAAAAAGAGACGTGTCTAGTCAGAGGAAATAACAGAAGCTATTTTTAGCATGGGGGAGACCTGAGTATGTTTGTAAGCAGACAGGAAGGAGCCAGTCGGTGCAAAGGGAGAAACTGGAGAGGCAGGAGGAGTAGATGATCATTGCTAGAGGAGGTCCCTGCGGAGCCAGGATAGGATCAAGAGTATAGTGGGATGGGGGGCTTACAAAGGAGAAGGGACACCTTCCAGCAGAGAGGAAAAGAAGAATGAGATGATGAGGATACAGACAAATTTTGAGGTGAAGAAGTTGTTCAGTCTTTTCAGTCATGTCCAAACCTTCATGACCCCGTTTGGGTTTTTCTTGGCAAAAATGCTGGAGTGGTTTGCCATTTCCTTCCCCATAGCCATATCTGAGTTGGGATTTGAACGCAGGTCCCCTGGCTCCAAGTCCACTGCTATTTTTACTGCATTATTCTGCTTCTATCTGTGCTTGTGGGAAGAAGCAGATTTACTCTCTATTATTCCACTGAGTAGAACTAGGACTGATGGGCAGATGTTTCAGGGAGATAGATGTGGCCGTATTATGAAGACGAATTTGCCAACCATTTTAGCTGTGCAATAATGGAAGAGGCTACCTTGTATGTCAGTGAACTGTTCATCACTGGGACTTTTCTAGGAGAAACTTATACAGTGACCTGTTAGTAATATCACAGAGGGGGTCCTACATTAGGTGAAAGGTTGGATTAGACCTCCATTCAAAAAGAGTGTGTTTCCACCCTTAGTTTCTATGATTTTCCATTCTGGTTGAGCCTCCAAGAGATACTACTATTCACTCTCCAGTACCTAGAATGACAAGAAGAAAAGGCATACTCCCTGTTTTTATAATATAGCCCTCTCCCCAGATGGCAAGGATGGGCTTGGGCAGTTTCTCTGAAGGACAGTCGTGTCTGTACTGAATATAGGGAAAGGGTTGTGATTGCTGATGAGCTAAGAGACCTTTGAATCAGCGGTGGTGACTGCATGATCACTCCTTTGCTCTCCTATTTTCAAGAGGATTATTGGGGCTAGAATTATGTCTAACTATGACACATCCAATATTTTCAGTCTAAGAATGTCCCGGGCCAAGAGGGTAACAGTTAATTTAATCTTGGCTAGCTTAGTTCCCTGGGGCAGTTAGGTGTTCAGCGGATGGATCACTAAGCCTGGAGTCAGGGAGACTCATCTTCTTCAGTTCAAACCTGCCCTCAGATACTTCCTAGCTGTGTGACCCTGGGTAAGTCACTTGGCCCTGTTTGCCTCGGTTTCCTCATCTGTAGAATGATCTGGAGAAGGAAATAGCAAACCACTCCACTATCTCTGCCAAGAGAACTCCAAATGGGGTCATGAAGAGTCAGACACAACTGAATAATAACAAAGGCTTCATTCCCTGTCATCAACTGCTTATTACACAGAAGTTTATCATGAATAACAAGCCAACGTATTTATCAAAGCAAACACTAAAGAGCAATCAGGAAGGTTGCAGTGATTAATTTAAACAAGTGCTTCTCCAATTTTTTGATCTCATGATCCCTTTACATTCTTAAAAATTATTGAGGACCCCAAAGAGCTTTTGTTTATGTGAGTTGTATCTATCAATATTTACCATACTAAAAATTAAAACTGATAAAATTTTAAAACAGTAATTCATCTAAAATGGTAAATCCATTTGTATATTCAAATGTTTACATACCATTTTTTATGAAAAATATTATATTTTTCAAAACAAAAAACAATTAGAAGAATGGTATTATTTTACATGTTTTTGCAATTATACTATCTGGCTTCATAGAAGACAGCTGGATTCTCCTATGTGCTTTTGCATTCAATCTGTTTTTTTCTGGTTGTAGTGTATGAAGAAAATCTAGCCCTCAAATAGATAAGTAGTTAGAAAAGGGCATCCTATGAAAATAGTTTTGACCTTGAGGGAGGGCCCACAGGCATCCTCTGATTACATTTTGAGAACTGATGGTGTCAAAAGTGCCTCCTTCAGCCTAAGCTAACCAGATTAAAATAAAATAGGAAACACTTACCAAAATAAATAAAAATACAATAGAACGGAGATAATGTTATTATGTGGTTTTCTAAGTCTGTAGGTGGCCCATAGGGATCTTTGTGGCCTAGTGCTTCCCCCCCTTTCTAATTGAATTTGACACTGCTGATTTAGATAATAAAATATACAGGAAGAAAGGGGTTCTGCCACTGAGGAACAGGTGAAATCTCAGCTCGGCTAGGGAGGAGAGAACAGTCTCACCTCCGAAGTCTGTTCAGCACCTACTGGGGGTTCAGGCGCTGAGAGTTAAGGGACATGCTGAGGGGGTAGGCTTTCTCCAGACACCTGGGGGCATGCACAGCACACAGCACCACAGTGGTTGTCCTTCAGAGAACCACCCAAGCCCCACTAGGAGGGGAGTCGCATGAAAATAGGGGCCATGTTCTCCCACTGAGTGGAAAAAGAAGCTTGGGTCATCAGATGCCTTGTATTTTCAGTGGTAGAACACTGGGGAGAGATAATCCATTTTGGGAGGTTGAAGCTACCCCCTCCTTCAGTAACCATAGCTTGATCAGGTAATTTATTGTAAAGAATAACACTCCCCATTTATGGAGCCCTTCATAGTTTACGAAGCACTTTTCTCACAACAACCCAGGTTGTTATAAACATTATTATCCTGCTCAAATTTTAAAAAAATAGAATATAAAAAAATAATTTTTTTTTGAAAAGCATTATTATCCCTTTTACAGATGATGAATTGGTGTCTCGAGAAGGTTAATTGATTTACCCAGGGCCATACAGATAATAAATATCTGTGTTGGGATTTAGTGGATACAGCACTGGGCCTAGAGTCAGGAAGACCTGAGTATGAGGCCTACCTCAGACACTTAACTAGCTCTATGAACCTGGACAAGTCACTTCACTTCTGCCTGCCTCAGTTTCCCCCTCTGTAAAATTAAGATAATAATAAAATCTACCTCCCAGGATTATTGTTGAGGATCGTACATTCGTAGAGCATTTAGCAAACCTTAAAATGCAATATGATGCTTACTCTTATGGTATCGTAGATATCAAGACTGAAGGAACCTCAGACTGTCTAGTCTACACCCTTCATTTTATAGGTGAGAAAACTGAGGTCCAGGGGAGTTAGGGAAGTCACCTAGTGAGGCCAGCCTCCCACAGCAAGTGTGTGGCGGGCTAGGATTCAAACTCAGGTCCTACAAACCCCAAGTTCAACACTGTTTCTGTTGTCCCAGGCTTCTTCCCTTTGAACCCAGGTCCAGTGCTGTTTCATTTTGGACACAACCAAGACCTGAACCCATCTCCTGACTCCAAATCCAGCTCTCTTCCTGCTGGACCTCACTACCTCCCTAGGGCAGATACATGATTGTAGACCAAAGACAGCAGGAGTTGTATGAGATTCGTCATTGTTTAGGATTTTTAGAAACC